GTAACTTTGGGTATAAAAAAGTTTGTTTTTTTCAATACCGGGTGGGTTTTTTTGAAAAATCGCTCCACAATACTTTAGTCATTCTAACGGAACACACTGCTGTTCTTGAATGAAAAATTTAAAAAATCTGCTTGAATTGTTATTGCGTCCGCAAAATAACGACCTTAAATCAGTAACTTTTACACTTTAAAATACCCAAACCGAGTTTAGACTTCTAATATATGTAGCGAAAATATCATAGTGTTGGGTGCAATGCATAGTTATCATGCAGCACAAGGACACGCATTGCGCCAGCGAGAACAGTCAAAAGAGGTCGAAATCAGTAGAATCTCTACTTAAGGTGTTAGTAAAGGCAGTCTCTTTGCGCCACACAGACTGGTTCTTTGCTGCCAGTACTAAGATGCCACACTGCCCAGCACGAAGCAAATATCCTTTTGCATGTCGTAAAAAGAGATCTAGGCGGCTTTTCCATCGGCGGAATAATCCTATCTCGGGAAAGCGATTGCTTTTGACGCATACGCAACTGTGGAACAGCAACAACGATTGCCACGTGTTGCCATTGTTTGCAGATTGCCGGAATAATCTTTACCAATGCTTTCCTATTTAATGAGCTAGGGCACGTTAGGCGCCCAACTCCCAATAGCGATTGTTTATGCAAATGTTGCAGAAGACCATCGCCAACAAAGTCTTTCTGGAACAGACAGGCATTCCAGTCCATCAGGATACAAATTGCACAATAATATGTCTTTGTTCTGTCGACAAGGTGAAGTGATTGTTGTTCCAGTTTGTAATGAAGCATAAGAACGACGCAACATCCCAGTTTTAGTGTCGCTAATACAAGTACCTATACAACAGATATGCAACAGGAAAGCGATGGGCTTCTCGAATGAAATCCGAACAATACTTGTTCTAACCATCCACTGGAATTATTACCTATCAGCGATTACAAAATTCCATTGTATAATTATGAGTGTTTCCTCTGCATGTACTGTACTCATAAGTCACACTGTATTACGATAAAACATACGAACGTACAACTTATAAGTGTATTAGAGTTCTCGTCCTCTTCATTTCAACTGGGTGGCTTTGAAAACAGCCAACAGGGAACATTTCGTTATAAAACCCTGTAATGCTGGTGCTACCTGTCTTCGGGATTTGAGCCACTTCGTCCAGGTTAATCCACGCTGCACGAATACGTGTTAGGTAGATGCCAACCAAACGATTGAGCTTTCATACCGCTATTTATTTATGTAAGCTACTCGTAGTTACGAGGTGGTACTATAACACTATTATATTACAAGACTCCGTTGGTACAATTTACCACTTGTTCGAACCGGCGAGTCCCGATCCACTTCCTTTTGTTTCAACGTTTAAGTCTAGAGATTTGGCGTGGCAATGCTCAGCTGGTTTTAGCGACCGTCTCCTCACGCTCGAACTGGGATCACTTCTTTATTTAATTTGTTGATATTGTTTTCGTGACGCTGTCCACCGCACTCGAGCTAAATGAAAACCATTTACCACATTTGTGCCGCTGCAAATACAAAACAGTATAAGTGCTAAGCACGCCTGCTGACTTTATTGATGGAATTTCAGAAATGACTGAAGCATGGTAATTTGCGCTTTTCGCCGTAAATCTCAGGAGCCTACAGTACCTATATGGGGAAGTCGGGTAGATTTCGGGAGACATGGTAAAAAATTATGCTTCTGGAATAAGATACTAGTCAGAAATGTTTAGAACTTTCGGGTCATAGCACTTCAAATTACTAACACAGAAAACATGACTCACATAAACACAGAACACACTTGACCCACGGAGAACCCTGAGTTTGCTAAATATGCTTATACAAATGTTTAATATTCCCCACCAAACATAAGACCCATCGGTCCTTTTATTCTGTTACATCAGTACGAAGTAATAATTTCGTAACATCTGCAGGACAGTAGCATGCTGTTGCATCCGAACGGATAAATAGGTCTTCCTGAAGAAAAACAGTTTTGTTGACTAAGGATTTCTGCAACACCAGCATAAACCAGTCTTGATCAGGAACACCGCGGCTCGCATGTCCCAGTTCACCGAACAGGATGGCGTTTGTGAAGATTATGCCGGCAATATATACGCAACCAAAATTGATTCTTTTATTATAGACAATAAGACTCGGGAGGGATGTCTTTCCTGAAGCCAGTGAAAGATACAGGTACCTCCAAGCAGGTTACACGTGTTAAGGCCATACCGCCAAGAGAGAAGCCGCTCGGATCTCCCTGAATGACTTCCAAGAGATCTTGCGCGTCCGTTGTGTACGATCTGTGTTGAGAACCGAGGCATCTTAGTGGCGGTACCATGAAACGTATCTGTTTAACACAACAGCACCTGATCGCAGTAACGTGTTAAGATATTAAGGTATTAATTTTATATCTAAGTTTGCCTTTTGATTTTCCACCCTTCATTGATCATGAACAGACGATGGTGTGCAACTGTACGAGTACTGTCAACTGTTCTACTTACACCATCTCCAAGCCGAACGAAGATAATCACAACATTAACGACAGCGAGTCTAATTCCCGAGCAAGTCACCAGAAAGAGGTTAAACCAGTTGATGGCACGATTTTCTGCAAAGCTTTATCCCACTTCGTACGATGGCGTCACCATGTAAATCATGTTTTGAACGGCAAAGAGTGCACTCACGTTGGCAAATTCCTTACCAAACAGTTTTATTAATCGATAGATTTCACCGGCTTGGTGCAAAGATGCAGCCGTCTGTATTCCTCGGGTGCCCAAAGGTCATGGTGCACTTTCCGCGTTAACTGGGTTAATAAAAGCCCGGTAAAGAGAACCATGCTCTGTACGACACTTCGATAGAAGGAATGAATTTTTCAGAAAAATGTCCACAGGCCAAGGAATACACAGTCTTTTCCTACGATGCATATATCGAAATATTCCAAATCGCTCAAGACAACGCTTAAAATCTGCACGAGCAATTGCAATGCTACCCAAAATGCCAAAGGAAAGAGCAGAGCATTTTTCTGTCTTTTGAAGAAAAATGAGTCAAATGTCTTATCGCCACTAATAATTAACTTCAAAACTCTGTTTCCAGAAATCCATCCAAACCACGCTGTATGCAGTATGACAATGGCGTCTGAAATATGCGTCGCAAATATTACCAGACGAATGAAAGCCGTAAATTTAAAACTTTGCCAGTCATGGTAGACATCATAGAACTGTACAGCTATTACGACAGACGCCTGAACGGCAGCAAAGGCGGTGGCTGTTCTGCGGAGGGACAAACGATTTGTTTTCAGCCGGAAAGTTAGCAAACCCAAAGACCCACAATGCGATTAACCACGCACGGTATAGCTTGTAAAAATATCCGGGCACTGGGTGGTGGGCCATCGGTGTTACCAATGTCCGGGGCAGGACTGTAAATGGTAGATGAGACTGCCACGCTGTCAAAGAATTCCTTGGATCTACGCCAGTGTTATTTATACTTACGGCAGATGCTTCCACATTTGCAAAAACTGTTTCGGTTAAATCTACAGAGAACAGCGCATCGTTTAATTTTTATCATTATCGTATCGCTACAGGTTATCGGGTTACACAACAGAGGTACTTGTGTGTGCTGAACACTTCCGATATTGGCAATGGTCTTTTGGGATTTTTCTCGACTTAGCCATACCTATGTACCAAATGATTCCGTCGTACCGAACCTTTCCATATTTCACATAACTTGTGGGTCGTTAAAACCGGACGGTTGTGTCATACAAGTACAAAACCTCTTTCCGCATAATTAAGTATTATGCGTAGCATCTACCGGTGTTACAACAGGAATGTCGGAAACTGAAACAAACAAAAGACGTGAAGTTTTAAAAAAAATTGCAGATTAACTCCAATAATCTCAAAATCTCAATCTCAAATCTGAATCTCAATCCCGAAATCTCAATCTCAAATCTGGATTTCAATCTGAATCTCGATTTGCCCAAAATGTCTTGGCGCAGTTCAAAAATGATCAAATTCGTACGCTTGAAGGTATCCCGCAAACGCCATTGGCGAAAACAAAGGCCACCCGGACATTAGACGGGATTGTTCACCGGTACTGTTCGTTCTGACGGGGTGATGTGTTGGCCATTGCGCTGATGATCGGTATTGTCATGGGAGGCATGTTAAAGGTCCCGCTGGGTGCTTTTTGCCACCGGCACTATTGTAGATCTTATGTTCTTGTGGAAATGTGCGTTTGGGATTAATTAATGTTATTTGGGCAGATGATTGCAGCCGCCTCCTTAAATTCCCTGGAGAGTAACTCAAACATCACTGAGTACTGATGTACAGTAGCTTTTTTGTGCACACTCTTCCCTAAAACGTGACTTCAACAATTTAAGGCGATAGCACATGCGATACTGCGGGATGAAAAGTAATAGATGCTTCGCGAACAAACGCTTCGCTGTTCGAACTCAAATCTCAATTTACACGCATTGAATGTGTTATTGCCGGACACTGTTTACTGATTTTTAGCAACAAATTTGAAACCGCAGACCGACTGGCCGATTCCTGCTTTTTCACTCTCATAATAATGTTATTGTAATATACGTCTCGTAAAGTACCCTACGAAGTGCACCGAAAAGAAATGTACCAGTTAACGGGAGAAGGGACACATAACAATGCCACGCACTATTTGCAAACTTAAACGTTGAAACATAAAACCAATAGGAGCGACTCTCGCCGGCTCTGATAAACAGCTTCTCCGGCCTTCGACAAAACATTAACTGCCGCATAGCGCCAACTGTGCCAACAGTTTCGCAAGCAGTGAGAACGTTGTGAATGATCTGTTGCACATGATCAGTAAAAGCGCCACAAGCACTATCATTCAGCGCTTTTCCAAACCATTAGCAGCTTTGGTTGCTGCCACGACTATTGAAAACATAATCGGAGCCATACCGGAAGCACCGCATTGCGCAATATTCAAAAGTTAAAATGTTGATTACTTTACACTTTTCAGATTATAATTAAGCATTTTATATCTGACTACTGACATATGCAGAGAAATACACTCTGTTAGTTGTCCTGAAGCCAAATGACTCAAATACAGTACATTAGCAAGGCTTCTGCTACGATTCTGCCGGATACGGCATTAAAACAGTTCCGGTTCCGGCAGCACGGTCGACGATCGGACGTTCGTTTGCGATTTCTCTGTTATTAAACTTATAATTATATAAGCAGGAAAGCGTTCTTCCAGGTTTCAGTACCACTGCTTCTCGTTCGACAAGAAAAGCTAATCAGCTATCATGCATTACGTGCTGTTCATTCTCTGCCTGCTTAACTTCGCGCACGACTCACATAGCAGGTTCCGTCAAAAAATCCCGCGCGAACAATGGGATGCACTTCTTAATCAATTCACATTCGGCACGGAATCCGGCGTTAGCGTGAACCGGCTGCATAATGGTCTCCGTTTCATCCCGGAGAAGACAACGCAGCGGGCCACCATCCCCAAAGCTTGTGGCATTCCAGGCGGAACCCATTCCGACCCCTTTGAACTATCCTCTCAATTCACCCGACCAGGCCGTGACGCCGCAGCTGACCGGGAGCGCCGCAGTATCGGGGGGACGGAGACTAGCGCCTCGGTGGTGTGCTGGCAAGCCTTTGTCGTTATCGATCAAGGTAACGGGACGGAGGTCATGTGTGGCGGAGTCATCATCGGATCGCGCACAATCCTTACTACTGGCACATGCTTATTTAATTATCTCCGCAATTCCGCCTTCAACGCGTCGGCGTACACGGTCATCGTGGGAGCAGTGGACAGTAACGCACCAACGTCGAATCGCCAAGACCCTACCGGATGTGCACAGACTTATACCGTGGAAAGTGTTCTGTTGCACCCTGGTTATGTCTTCGCGACGGATGATAACGATATCGGTAAGCACAATATTGATCTAACGTTCAGTTTAGGAGAATAGGTACTCCCTTTCCGCCATAATCCACGCCTGTATGAGAGGCAGGGCGACACATGGGGCGTTAAAACCCCTCATTAGCAGAGTGAAGACCGAATTAAGCTGTTCTGGCCAGTGAATGGTGACCAGGGCATATACAGCTACGTAAAAATGCTTTAACGTCCAATATTTTACCATTAAAACCGTAGTGTCAGCTGTTATAGCGGCTCGACGTAAGGGAGTTTCTGAAAGCTTTCGGAATGCCATGTATTGCATATTGTGATATGCCTACTTTACTTGAAGGTATACTGACGTTATCGAGCGCCATTGACCTTGCCAACAAACCCTGTGCATGCTCAATATGTCTGACAAACCGAGTGCCGGCCTTCAACGAGACATGTGTCATGAGTGGCTATGGAGTCGAAAACAACGGAAACTGTAAGCCTTTGTTATATTAGTAATTTTTGTGTCAGTATGTAGTATTATGTACAATCGAGTGCACAGTTCGCTGCATTCGTCACTTGCTTGCAGCATACCCTAAAGCGTTTACACTAAAGTGGATTAGACAAAAAATCATCCCACAGTCGAACAGCTGCGTCAGGTTCTGCTTGGAAAACACCTGCACCAATATCAGCAATTTCCTGTAAGATTGTAGCGGCAATATGTTGCAGACTGTCGCTGCCTTTTCGGTAAGCACTGGTGTCGCTTTTGCAGTTGCAGTCAAGGCGCGTTAGGCCAGGATGAATGCTGGGGGGACAATGGCGGGCCACTGGCGTGTTACGATCCCACTCGCAACAACTACTACTTAGCTGGCCTCATAGCCTTCGGCACAGAGACCTGCGGAAAAAATTTAAACGTTGGTGGACAGAGCGTGAAAATAGAACAGTATTTGTCGTGGATAATAGACAATGCGCTGCCGGGTGATGTGCAAGTGGAGGACGTCGTCGGGTAACACCGTCGACTATTTCGCCAGTCGGAACAACAACAAATTATTACTACCTCTACATTAATATGGGCTGACCAAAGAGAAAACAAAATGCTGCTTATGTATACGCATTAAACGTGAGCATCAGACGTGAGCATTAAACGTGAGCCATACGATAGTGGATTCCAGTATTTTCATTGGCAAAGCCTGCCGTCGCTACTTTTCAAATATAACCGCGCGCTGGGGGGGAAGGGGGTTACTAATACAGACCGGTGGTCGGAACGTGAAAGTGTAATCTGTAAGCGGTCGGAACGCGAGTAAAAGCGAAGTACCTGTAAATGAACTGCCGTAAGCAACTTATTGGTTACTTGATTAAGTATTTCTGTTCTGAAATGTCAAAAAGTTGCTCATACTGTATCTGTCAAAGCCGAAGACAAAATGAATGAAAACAAAATCAGTCAATGTAAATGGCGTCAAGCGTAGAATACAATTGTACATTCAGGCTGCCTGAGGTTTGAATGCATTTAAATTATCTCTGACAGGACAGATTCAGAATAAAAAGTGGTCATATAAAGTCACTATCAGACACATTTTCAATGGAACGAAAAAGACATCATTTATGTTCAAGAAAGCCAAACCAGTGGCCTGGAAAGCCGCCAGTTTTTACAGCGTAACTTTTTTTACGTCGTTTTTTCTGTTATAGGTATCTGTAATATCTCTATTTGATCTGAAGTACTAAATGCAAACCAATGGTTTGTGTTTTTTGTTGGAGCTTAATTTACGAGTACAAAATGGTTTGAAACCCCTTTACGCTTGTGCAATAAAACACCGAAAATTTCTAAAAACACCTGCAACGTAATGCAAACTCTGAAAACACGTTTACGGCACAGCGCAGAGACTAATCGAACTGGACCAGCCTGCGGTGTGCCCTACCGGTGTCCATACGTTTCGATCCGCGTTTGCTAACAATGTTTAATGACATTCCGAGTCAGGCATTCAGTTTTAACCTGAACCTTCCCAAAAGCATCACACGGGGCGAATGACCAGTAGACGGAATACCCAGTACAGTAGTGTTTCGAAAGAAAGGCAAATTGCCAAAAGCGGCCCAGGCCGGGTCCTCCCGGGTGTTTCTACATAAAGCTCAAGCATTTCCGTTTCAGTCCACAATAATACCTTTCTCTGCTATCTACATATGGCAGCTGGACCTAGACTGGGATCACTCTCTGACCAGCTCCAAACCACGCTGTATGCGGTATAACCAAGAAGTCTAAAACTCCTGTGATGCATATTATCATCTTTATGAAGGTACTAAATCTGTAAGTTTGCCAGTAATCATAGATGCTATAGATCTGTACAGCTATTACGACGGCCGCCTGAACGGCTGCAAAGGCGGTGGCTGTTCTGCGGAGAAACGAACAAACGGTGTTCTGAGCCGGAAAGTCAGCCAATCCAAATGCCCACACTACGATTATCCAACCTCGGTGCAGTTTATGAAAATTTCCCGGTGCTTAGTGCTTTTGTGAAGACGGCATGGTTATCAACTTATTCCTAATGCCCAAGACAGTGTAATAAGTGAACCTGCCACTGCTAATTGAAGAAGTCCTTTGGGTCTACCAAACCTTTGGTGTTATGTATGGATACGGAAGATGCTTCCAAATGCACACCATATTTCGGTTTGAATCTTCTGCGGAACGTTTACTTATATCATTATGGTATCGCTACGAATTACCGGGTTACGCGGCAGAGACACTTGTATGTGCAAAGCACTTTCGATAATAGAAATGGTCTTTTGGGATTTTGGTCGAGAGTTACAGCGCACAGCCGTACCTATGTACAGGTACCTAATGATATATTCACAGAGCGTGGTTCGTTTTTATGATTGACGGTTGAATCATACAAGGACAAATCTTACTTCCGCATAATATTTGTTGCACCTCCCGGTGAACAGCAGAAATATTGACAACCGATACAACTTCCGGCGACGGAACTTGTTCCTGGTTTCCTCGTGACTGGAACAATTTTTGTATGCTTCGCTAAACACATTATTTCATCTAAACCTATGACAAACGATGGTCACGAGGCCTTTAATTTACTGAACGAGCATGCGGTAGTGCAGATTACAAATGGGTTTTACGATCACCAGTCCAGTTTGGATTGGTGTAGCGCAGCAACGTTGACTATAGACCGCTCCGCAAGCAACGTCCGGCAACAAAATAAAAAATGCATGATTATTACTTTGTATGATTCTAATCGACAGATGGTCCTCCCATGAGAATCGATGACTACATTCCGCAGTTTGCAGTTGTTGCAGTAAGCGCCACGCGGAGACTTTGAAGCATAATACCATAATTCCCATTAGTGGTTTAAATGAAGACTTTCAGGTTTGGCATATCAAACGTACAGCGCAATATAATACAAGTGCAAGCAACGCTTCAGTGCTGTTCCTTATGAAATTCACACTTAAAGCTGCCCAATCTTCTTATTTAAGGTTTCCTATTTCGAAAAGTAAACAGCAGCTGAAGCAAAATTGATATTTTAAGTTGCATCCTCAGAAGCCATGCAGCCGGTTGTACTAAGCGAAGTGCCCGGCAGTGGTTGGTTCACACGCGACTGGAAACTACTCTCCTCGCTGCTACGTATGCACGGTTATTTTCCATGGATAAAAACCGGAACAGCTTTGGATTCCAATCGTTGTCCACAAAAAGTCTCCCTGCGCGTGGTGTTCACCGGGTTCCTGATTGTTCTAAACAGTATGTTGGGCATAGTTGCCGTCATCGATACACTGCACCAGACTGTGCCCAGGACGGCAGCGCACGACAGGCCGCCACTGCTAATTTCCGCCGCCATGATGCTGCTGTTTCACGGCGTTGGAATATTGTTAGTGCTGTTGTTCCCATTTTGCACGCGCTCGCTAAACAACGCGGTGGAGGAGCTTGAAGAGGTCTTAAAATCCTATGACATACCGTCAAAATCGCGAAGGCGTATCTACGTGTTTCTGACTGGTGAACTGACCTTTGTTATCAGCATGTCAACTTGTTTATGGCTTCTTCACTTCCAGCAGTTAGACGCATTGGAAACTGCCTCGGTGTCCTTTCTACCGTACACATTTTCCGCTCGTTCATTCGTGATAGTTTTTCAGTTTCTGCCGTTTTGCTCTAGCTGCTTTAGCCCTTTGGCTTTTACTACAGTTTTTCAGTACTTCGCTGCTTGTTTATCATTGGCTTTCCTAGAAAACAACCGTCAAACCGCTTACCTTGTCAATAATACCGGCAAAGACCAGTCGGAATTATTGGATGTTTTGGAGACATCGCGTAGGCGGCACTGGAAACTCTCGAAAGTCACGAAAGCCATGGATGATAATTTTTCAACCGTACTGTTTGTTCAGCTGGTATTCGACGTTCTGGCAATAATATTGATGATCGGCATCACCATGGGTGGCGTGTTGAAAGTGCCGTTGGGATTGTTCACTACAGCAACTGTGGGAGATTTAATATTCATGAACGGTTTTGCCGCCGGGAATATGGTCCTGCTCGTTTGCAAGATGAGCGCTGCAGGGATTCTCAATTCCCAAGTAAGACGTGACTACAGAATAGTGCTACTGTATTATTACAAATGTTTTCCGAATAAGTATAACGTAAAATGCTTGAGGAACTATACTTCTCTTTTTTGAGGCATAACAATTTACTTTTTGGCTCCGTACAACATTCCAGCTTTAATAGTTTTGTATTACTGTCGCATTAATATTGAACTGCTGGTTGAAGCTAATCTAATATTACGAGTGATATTTCTGTCACAGAAGTATGTATTTTATATATCAGACCATGGCAGTGCTAAACTATTAAGGCAAAAAAAGCGACACGCCTACTTCCGGTGCTACGTCATGATAAGGCAAGCCATCCACCAGCGCAATGCTTTACGGCTCGTAGGCTCCACAGGTTGCTATGATCAGCGCTTTGAGGTTAGTTCAAGTTAAAAACGAGTGACCTACAGCTTAAAAGATAGAGAAAAAAATTTTAAGATTTCTGATGCAAAGTTTGTGTGGAGCTTGGGCAGACAGGAGGTTTCAGAAAGGTTCCGGAGTGTAAGCAGTTTGCTTACAACGGTCGTGCGGTGTGGACCGACCGTTGAACTGACTTTGTATGCTACGTAACTCGATTTCCTTTACGAAACGTTTTAAAAACCTCAGTTCGCCTTTTTTACTGAAAACTTTGGCACCAGAAAACGTAAAATTTTTTGGGCTTTCTTTTGAGCTATACCAGGAAGATTTTATTGCACGATAAAGCGAAATGTGTTTACCATACCACCAATAGAAGTATGTGGCGTATACACAAGCGGCTTGCCTTAGCACTGCGCAATCGAATTCGCTTTGCTGTCTTATTATACTGTATAACTGTAGTACTGCCATGATCTGACTCAAGTTCTACAAACTTTTATGCTGCAACAGGCTCATGGACTTGCTGCGATTTACTACGAAATAGCGGAGACGGCCGGGAACTGGAGAATCAAAATCGAAACCTTGACAATGCCGACCGTGCAGCGTTTACGAGATTATCCGGTTGGCTTTACCGCCTGCAAACTTTTCTTATTCGATACTAGCTTTATTGTTACGGTAAGATTTGGATTAAAATAATACTGCTTTAAATATAAGCGGAGTGCGCTGCTCTGACCATCGGTCTTATTACTTTCCCGCTTGTTAGGTTATCGGAGTCCTACTGACGTATTTGGTTGTTATGTACGAGCTGACCACTCGTGATGACCCCAAACCATGCGGGAATACCAGCTCTGGCGTGGATTCCAGTTGGAGCTTACCCATCTGAATCCCTGGACATCCAAAAGACTAATAACGATTTATCTCCAAATTGCATTTTATTACAAGCGATTTCAATAAGGGCTGATCTGCAGCAAAGCCTAAGTGTACTTAACCTTTTGATGTAGCTGCTGGCGTAGTCACAATTAAATCTTTTTGCACTGGGAAAATAAAGAGGCTGAACGATAAAAAGATACTAGTATATTTCCATGGTTCCGCGAATCGCACCCTTACCAGCTATTTATAGTAGAAAATAATTCGCTAGATATTTTTGAATCCTTATTCCGTTTGGTCTTAACCCTAGCTTCTGTCATTGTGCTTACTTTTCCCCGGCTAAGATTCTGCGATATTTGAAATGGGGCAGATCAGTTTACCCTACCCCTTTGCTTCATTTGGTAGGGGTATACAGTGCACCGACTTGTGAGAATTTCGAGTAAATCGAATTAGCATCTGGCTTTTTTTAACGCTTATATTTAACCTGATATGTAGCGAGAGCCACTTGACCAGCATTCTGAATGAGCATGTGGTAGTGTAGACTATAAATCGGCTTTGAGGTCGCTAGTCCAGTTTGGAGTGGTGTACCAAGCGCAGCGTTTGTAATGGACCGCTCCGCAAGAGCCTTAAATCTGCGAAAGAAAAACTGCG